ATCACAAAGAAGGCACTTAAAATGTCGGGCAGACAAGTGTAAACAAGGCTGACCTGCACGGGAAGGCTCCAGGATCGAGTCCCAAGAGTACGCTGTGTGTGCACTTGTCTGTGATCTGGGTCTGACAAGTCTGCGAGTGGATCACAGTGTTGATACCCTGCTAGGGGGTGCTTCTCTCTGTCTCTCTCATGAAAGAAATACATAAATGAACTTAAGAAACAAAACCAAGCTGTGTGCATTCAAACAAACACTGAGCCCCTCTCCTTGCCAGGTGCTATCCTAAACTGTAGGTATCACTTCATTTAATGACTAAGGTATATGTATTATTTTAGTTCAGGCTGCTGTAAAAAAAATTGTAGACTGAATAAACAATGCTGTTTTATTTTAAATTTTATTTATTCATCTTTTTAAAAAAAATTTCGACCAAAGGGAAATGAGAGAGAGAGAGAGAGAGAGAGAGAGAGAGAGAGATAGCCCACGAGCGCAGCACACAAAGAGATAGCCGCCACGTGCAGGACTCAAACCATACTCAACCATGTGGGAATGTCCAGCACCTCAACCACCATGCCACCTGCTGGTTCCCAGATAAACAGTGTTTTAAACAACTAAAATTTCTCAGTTCTGGAGGTTGCGAAGTTCCATATAAAGATGCTGGCAGTTTTGGTGTGTGGTGAGGGCCCCTTCCTAGTTCACAGATATCTGTCTTCTTGCTGCACTGTCATGTAGCAGAAGCAGCAAGGGCGCTCTCTGAGGGCTCTTATAAGGCCACTAATCCTATTCATGAGGGCTCCACTCTCAAGACCTAATCACCTCCCAAAGCACCAGCTTTAAACACTGTCACCTAGGGGACTAGTTTTCAGAATGTATTTTGGGAAGAACACAGATATTCAGTCTTTGAGGCAGGTACCATTGTTATTTTTATTATAGAGATAGGGAAAACAATGCAATTTGGAACTTGCCCAAGGTAAGTGGCAGAGGAAGATGAAAGTTAAGCCATGGGGGCCAGCAGTTGGCATGGTGGTTAAAATGCTGGACTCCCACATGGCCAACTGTGGTTCAAGGCCTGGACCTGCCAGCTCATTTTTTCACTTTCCCTCTCTGTATCTCTCTCTCTCTCTCTCGTGAGCATGCGTGCCCTGTAGCAAATTAAAAACTAATATGATGGGGAGACCAGCAGATTGCATAATGGTTATATCACTGGACTCTCATGTAGTTGACCATGATTTGAGTCTAAGACCCGAAAGCTTAAAACTCATGCCAGGTGCATGTGCGTGCATGCCCAAAATCCTGAGAGGAGAGAAAAGGAGAAGGGATTGTGATTTGGCCATCCCCCCTGGGGGATTTCTCACTTTTCCTCTCACTGTCTCTTTCTCTCCAGCAAGTGCACGCACCCCAAGGCAAAAACTTCTAAAAAAAAGGAAAGAAGAAAGAAAGTTAATTCATGAAGTGTTCATGGAGCAGAGCTGATTGGGTCCCTGAAGCTGCCTATAACTCTCAGGGCACACAGCAGTGGCTGCTTGCAATATCATAGCACTCCAGCTTGCAAGGCATCCCTATGTGCTGTCTCCGTTAGTCCTCACAGAAATGGTGTGGAATAGCAGATGAGGTATCAGAGAACATAATTACAGTTATCAGAGACGAGGCTTAACCTATTACTTTGGTACTCATTCTGTTAATTATCACACCGAGGGGAGTCATTGTAGAGAGGACAGCCTACACCAACAGAATTCCATGGGCTGTGGACTGCTTACTTTTTTTTAGAGCGTCAGGAACCAGAAAGAAAAACTCTAGAAGGAGTCAGGGAGGGTCAACAGTGAAGCTTAGGAAGCCTCCTTAGGTGATTCCAAAATATCTGACCATAACTACCAGGGTAGGGCCCCTACTTGACCTGATCCTTTCTCAATCTTAAAACAGGAGTCCCAAACCAGTAGTGCACATCTGGTAACCTTCTCAAGTAGGTAACTAAACCAGTTCCCATCCCCTCTCTGCTTCCATCATCACAACTCCCATCATGCCTCTACTTCCATTTGTAGGCATCTGTCTGTTCCAACCACACCCTCCTCACCTCTACCCTAAGGTCATTTCAAGATAAGAGAAACTAAAAAGTCATGATCGCACTCAAAGGTTAGGGAGGGCTAATTTAGGATAGTAAAGAAAAGTTGTAAGACAGTAAGGAAAATCAGATTTTTCCTTTGACACCACAATGTTTATTTGGATCTCAGAGGTTCAGAGACAGAGAGACAGCATCTCCAGCAGGTTTTTGATTGGGCTTTATAGGTTTTCACAGCCCTTTAGTGACAGCTTCAGTTTGATGTAATACCATTTTGTGAGCAAGTATGAACAGAGGAGGGATCTTGGGCCAGAGTTGCTATCAGGAAGCAGAAGGCATTCTTGGACTAGGATCAATGCAGAGTGCTGTCTTCACACTACTCTGGGCTCAGTTGGTCTTCCTACTTTGAGCTTCTATAGCATGGAGAAAGTACAAGAGAGGACAGGAAAACTAGTATATTACAGATGCCCTAAAAATTAGAGCTGTGGGGACCAGCAGATGGTGTAATGGTTTCATTGCTGGACTCCCACATAGTTGACCACAGTTCAAGACCTGGACTGGACAACTTGAAACTCATGCCTGACACATGTGCATGTGCACCTAAAATCCTGAGAGGAGAAGGGATTGCAGTGTGGCCATCCCCCCAGGGGGTGATATTTTTACCTTTTGTCTCTCTGTGTTTCTGGTGAGTGTACGCACCCTATAGCAAAAATCTCTCTCTAAAAAAAAAAAAAAGAGACCTGTGAATTAGAAATAACTTTAGGGCATATGAACTTTAAGAAATTTTTCTGATGCAGGGGCACAATAAACAGAAACAGGTGAGTTTAAAGCAAATTGCAGGATGAGAAACCTAGCATAATCTGGAACTTTCTCTCCAGGGAATGGGTAAGGTGAATCTTATCAATCATTGATTTCTATTGTATTGGATCTCAGACTGGGCAGACTTTTCTCCACCCAATGGTAAAATATGAGGAAAGCTCAGGTAGGGGTGGCAGGAGAAATTCTCCACAGAGTAGCGTGTCCCCGTCTTCCAGCAATGGCAATTGGATTGGCACACGTTGAGAGTTTATGCATAGACACAGCTTCCCTTGAGAACTGGCAGAGAAAGAAAGGAAATGAGAAAAAGAGGAAAAAAACGTGAAGAGGAGAGAGGAAGTCAAGAAGGGAGAAGTCTTCATGGACTGCTTCCACTCTTTTTTAGGAGAATTCGAGCCATATCCCACAATGTTGGTGAGGGAAGGGTGTAGGAGAGGCCTAATAACTCAACATTTCAAAGAGTATTTTGAATAGCAATAGAACTGTATACTATATGGAGGTAGAGCAGAGGCAGGTTAAAGGAAAAGGAGAACACTTTTTGTTTGTTTATTTATTAGGCAGGAAATGAGGGCAACCAGAAGGCTCTCCTCAATTGTTCCCAGGAAACAGCTTTTTACTGCCCATAGCTCAGTCTGTTCACTGGTCATTTCTTCTGACTGTATGACTTTCACAAGATTTTTTCTTCCTTCCTTCCTTCCTCTTCTTCCTCCTCTTCCACTTCCTTCTCTCTCTCTTCTTTAAATTTGCCACAGGATTATCAGAGAGAGACTGAGAGTAAACAGCCCAATTTGTCATGGATTTGAACTGTGCCTTAGGTCATGTTGTACCTCGCTCCTTAGCCACCAGGGCACTGGGGCCAACCAAAAACAATCTTTCTCTAGATAACTAACTTGCACCAGAACACACAATCTTCCTGCCCACCCAGAGAACAATACGTTTTTTTCTAACCCTGTTGCATTCCCATTTTCCTCAGCCTCTTGTCTGTCATCTTTCCCCAAATGTAAATGTTTTCTAATACCCTTCCCCTCTTTTAAAAGGAGTTTGAGCGGAAAGGAGTTACATGTTTACCATTTCTCTCTGGCCCTGCCTCTCCTAAGAGCTGACACCATGCCTGAGGGTTTGACTTATTTTAAGCAAGCTTTGAAAGACCAATAAGTTCCTCTGCTTTATAACTTTTACTTTGCAGTTTCTCTTTTTCACTCTACAAGCCCGAAGTGTTCTCCTAACAGAGTTTCTCAAACTCCTGTACACATCATTCATATAATACAGGCGACTGTAAAGACCGTTGTTTACATATTTCTTTTCCCCATTAGATTGAGCCGCGTGGGGACAAAACCCAAGTCACCGTGTTGGCATTTAGTACTTAACGACCAGGGCGAGGCAGGCAGCTCTTACTGAGCGCCCTGCAGCAGACGCTCTCGAAAGGGCTTTCCGAACATGCAATCATTTAGTACCTGCACCTGCCCAAGCCAATCCCCGGACTTCCCTCTCTCTGCCTCCTGCTGGGCGGCCATAGCTCTTTCACCCCCAAAGGTCTCCACGCCCCGCCCCAGGCTGCCTGGCCCCGCCCCCTAGCCTCCGTGTGGTCTAGAAGTGAGTCGCGCTTCTCTGACGTCAGCAACACGCGCCCCAGCCGTCCACCTGGCCTGAGAGTTTCTCGCTTCTAGTTTCTCTGCTGTCCTGCCTCCCGGTAGTGACTGTTGTCCAGGCCTGGAGGCCCACGGCGTCACGTGCTCGAGGACATGTCGATGCTGGCTGAGCGTAAGTGTCCAAAACGAACACCCGACCAGGGAGGGGATGAAGATAGTGGGTGACTCGTACGGCCACCCGGAGTCGCTGGGGACCCGAAAGGCCGGCGCGCTGGGGTGGTAGGGCTTCAGGGACTGGGGACTTGGGGACTGGGAAGCCAGCACGGCTACTGAGATTTCGCAGCCCAGTCTTCCCCGCAGGTTAGCCAGTCTGCTAGTGATGGAGACTGCGAGTGTCCCTGGAGACTCATCCTCACACTCAGACCTTTGACACGCGTGCTGGATTCGAAAGGCGGTCAGAACACTGAATCTCGGACTGACCCTGTCGCCACCGGTCCTGGGGACCCAGACTGGTTCACTTCCCCGGGCCTCAGCTTCCTCAAGTTGAAAAGAGAAGTTTGGGCCAGAAAGATGGTTCAGAAACTGAAATGTTATTGTCGGAGATGTGTTGACCCAGAAAAGGCAAAGCAAAGGGGTTAGAAACATCGGACACAGAAAGTTAGCCCCCCCCCCCCCTTCTTTTCTGTGGGTGGGGGGGGGTGGCTAATAAGTAATTTTTTTTTTTTTTGAGAGGTTTTTGGTATAGGGCACGTGCACTCGCCAGAAAGACAGAGAGAGACAGAAAGCGAGAAATCACCCTCCAGGGTGGATGGCCACGCCACAATCCCTTCTCCATTCTCCTCTCTGGATCTTGGGCACACACGCACACACGCCTGGCGTGAGTTTAAGCCACCGGGTCCAGGACTCTAACCGCCCGTCGAATACATGGGAGTCCAGTGACATAGCCCTTTCGCCAACTGCTGGTCCTGCTAATATGTAATTCTAAGACGGACAATCTTTGTTAGCTTGAATTACTCCATCATTGGAGTGTTAGCTGCCATCCAGCCTCACTTTGATTTGCCATACTTTGTGAAGTCCCTTTAATTCCTTCTCTCAGGAGAGGCTATTTAACTTCTGAATGGTGTCTGTAGATAAAGTTGCTTGCCTCCAGATGGCAGTAGTGCTTTGGTTGTGAGAAGCTGGTCCTTAACTTTCTAAAAGCAGTGTTTTGAGCAGAGAACTATATATTTAACAGACTAACCGCACTGGCACAAGGACTTTTACGAAATAAAATCCTCTTAGTATCTAAAGAACCATTTAAGGACTAGGAGCACAAAAGGAATGATCAGACACCATCTTGATACTACAGGAATGGAAAATGAAATTCAGAGGAAAATAATTGAGCAAGAAATTAGCAAGGTTGTAGCAGTTAACTCCTTCTCTTTGTATTTTGCCACTAAGATGAATGGTTTTCTATCATTTTAAAATAGGAACTCATATTTTAGATGGTGATCCTGTGGGCTCTAGTTAATTTTTTTAATGAGCAGCCAAGATTAGAATCTACTGATGTTCATAGTCTTTGATGTATTCTTAATCCAGCATACACTTGGGAACACTGGCTCTGGTTCTACCTTTATGCGTATTTTCTTGATCAGTTTCTGTGAAGCTATCAAAAACTCATTATCTTTGTCTCTGGGTTGACTTAAAAATCAACCATCATTTCATTGAACATGCTGCTTCCTTTTTTTCTTGCTATGTAAACTGTATTTTATTTTATTTTATCCTCAGCATAGGCATTTGTCCTGTTTTAAAAAATCTACTAGTGGTTTTCTTTGTATTTCTCAAACATTCTTTAACCCGTGTTTCTGTAATTATCTATGCTATTTTGTTGGATCACCCTGATGTAGGATAAGAAATCTACCTTACACAAACTTACCCTGTGTAAGATAAGAATTTTATTTTATCACCCTAACTTCCCAGTCTATATAATTTGCAGTTTTAGACCCAGATTATTTATAAAGGTATTGCTTTTTAAAAGACTCTTTCCTTTTCAAGACCAATTTTTTGACACTCAGTTACTATATATATAGTCAAGTCACAACACTGTAGTAATGGATTTTAAGGCTATACGTTAAATTTTATAATTTAGTTTCTTCATTCTCGAATTATTATTTTTTAAATTGCCAGTAGGCACATGTACTCACCAGAGAGAGATGGAAGGGAGGGGGGGGAAAAGCAAACTTCCAGTGGGGTGTGGTCACTCCACAGTTCCTTCTCCCTCTTTTCATCCTCTTGGGACCCTAGGCACATTCACACATGCACCCGACATGTCTTTCAAGTCACTGGGGCTGGGATTAGAACTGCAGTTGGCTATGTGAGATCCACCATCCTTAAGAACTAGGCAACGGGGGCTGCCCTTGAATAATCTATAGTAAGAATACATGGGTGGTAGAATTGCACTCTTGAATATCTGTGACTTTGGAAAAATTAAAAAGAAAACACTCCCTAGCTCTTGGGACTCAACACACCCTTCCGAGTAAGCTTAGTCCAGCCATAAACCACCTGGTATTAGGCATGGAGTGATTGAAAATGAAGTCCCTTACAGCTGTTGGGAGAATTGGTTACTGTGGTTACCCTGAGTGTATCCTGGTGGAACCAATGTCCATTAGAGCTCCCAATAGGAGTCCCTACCAGAGGATGACTAAACACATCGTTCCATTTTTAATGTTCCAGCACAAAGAAATGATAAATGTTTGAGGCGAAAGAGAGGCTAATTGCCCTGATTTGATCATTATACATTATATACATGTATTGTATCACACTAACCCATAAGTAAGTACAATTATCATGTATCAGTTAAAACATAGACACACACACACATCATCATCATCGTCATCATCCCAGATAGTGATTCTGCAGATTCTGGGCACTTTTATCTGGGTAGCTCACTCTTATCTGCTGTTCCTTATAGTACTGTTCCAGGTTGATTTGTGGGTACCCATGACAAACCTCCATATTTAGTGATTTGCCCAGGACTCAGCATATATGTACATGGCTAAGATTCATTACAGCTGAAGGAATCAGAGCAAACTGAGTAAAAGAAAAAGATGCATGGAGCTAAGTCCAGGGGACACCAGGTACGAGCTTCCATAGTTCCGTCCTGGTGGGGTGACACATGACGTGTTTCATTCCTCCAGCAGTGAGTTATGACAACACATGTAATATGGTCAGTCAGAGAAGCCCATAGGACACTCAGTGTCCAGGGTTTTTCCCAGGGGCTGGTCATGTAAGCCTGACAATATACTAAAATTCTAGACTGCCACAAAAGAAGGCACCTGCGTAAACCATGTTGCTTGTATATACTGGCA